TTTTCCACAAAGGTTGCACTAATTTGCAGTCCCACCAGCAGTTTAAGAGTGTTCCTGTCTCTCCTCATCCTCGCCAGCATTTGTTTTGGGATGTTTTGATACAGGCCATTCTTGTTGGGGGTAGGTGGTATATCATTGTGGTTTTGATTTGCATTTCTCTGATGATTAGTGATGTTGAGCTTTTTTTATATGTTTGCAGGCCATTATTCTGTCTTCTTTGGAGAATTTTCTTTTCATTTCCATTGCCCATTTCTTGATGGGGTTGTTTGATTTTTTTTCTTGTTAATTCTTTTAAGTTCTAGATAGATTCTTGTTATTAGACCTTTGTCAGACGTGTAGAGAGCAAATATTTTATCCCATTCTGTGGGTTTTCTGTTTGCTCTAATGATAGTTTCCTTGGCTGTGCAGAAGCTTTTTAATTTGATCAGATCCCATTTGGTTTTTTTTTGGGGGGGTTGTTTTTTTTGTTTGTTTGTTTGTTTGTGTTTGCTACTGCAGCGATTGCCTTGGGGGTCTTCCTCAAAAATTATTTGCCTAGACCAATGTCTGATAGGGTTTTCCCAACATCTTCTTCTAGGATTTTTAGTCTAGTTTCTAATAGCCAGCTTATTTTCTTTGAGTTTTCACTAACTCACATAAAACCAACCTGTGATCACTTATGCCTAGATCTCTTTCCTCAGCCTTTCTTCATCTAAGACTTGACTTTGCTAATAAAATCCTTTCTTTGTTGTCATCATATTGGCTACAACTGTATTTGCCTCTCATTAGCAGTGCAGTAGATAGCAATTTTCTTTTTTACTAAGATGGTCCCAAGCTTATACGCAGGATGTATCCAAAAGTTCATTTTTAAGTTAATTATTTGAAAACTCGGAGTGCATTTTCTCATAAAAGAGGCTTTCTACACATAGTGATTAGGTTCCCAGGCCAGCCCGCAAAGGCCAGTTTAGCCCATAATATAATGGAAAGTATGGATTTTTGCAATGGAAATTAGTTGGCAATAATACTGTTGCAATTAAAAAGAAAACAATAGTTGCAAAAGAAATAGTCTGGGTTTTTGTTTCCCTCAAAGCAGCAGTCCCCAACCTTTTTGGCACCAGGGTCTGGTTTCATGGAAGACAATTTTTCCACAGACTGGGGTGGGGGTGGGGTGATGATTTCAGGATGATTTAAGCGCATTACATTTATTGTGCACTTTATTTCTATTATTATTACATTGTAATATATAATGAAATAATTATACAACCCACCATAATGTAGAATCAGTGGGAGCCCTGAGCTTGTTTTCCTGCAACTAGACGGTCCCATCTGGGGGTGATGGGAGACAGTGACTGATCTGACAGGAGGCAGAGCTCAGGCAATTATTCAAGCTATGGGGAGTGGCTGAAAACACAGATGAAGCTTCTCTAGCTCTCCCACCGTTCACCTCCTGCTGTGCGGCCTGGTTCCTAACAGGCCAAGGATCAGTACCAGTCTACAGCCTGAGGGTTGGGAACTGCAGCCCCAAAGGATAGGGCTTGATGAAAAGCAGGTTTAATTCTATGAAGACAAAGAGAAATTTTCTTTTAGTCAGGATTTTAGTGAGGATCCTTTAAGATGAGAATATTTATGTAAATTGGACACCGTGGCTTTTTAAATTTATTTTTAAAATAATGTTTTGGAGGGTTTTTAAAATAATAAAAGCAACTGTGTTCATGGTAGAACATTTGGAAAATTGAAAAATATTTTTTTAAAAATTAAGTCACCAATAATCCCACCACCCAGGCAGAACCACTATTAACATATTGGTGTGTTTCAACCTTTTACTGAGTGCATGTATTTTTTAAAATCTGTCCAACAATAGTAATTATGGTGCATCTTACATGATGAACTATTATGCAGCCCTTAAAATGATATTCATGAAGAATTTTTTAAACATCAAAAAATATTTTTTATACAGTATTGCATAAAAGGCAACCTTGCATTTGATACCTAGTTTGGGGATGACAAAGTGTAAACAGATCAATACTAATCAAAAAAAGGCAGGAGTAGGCTGTTAGGCTACCAACCAAGAACCCCTATCATCAATCCCACCCCCTACCAAAAACCAGTCTTTTGTAGTAGTTCTGAAGCAGACATATGTGTTCTTTGAAGTACTGTAGAGGTTCGTAGCACTGGCTCCTTGTGACTTTTAGTTTTCTTTCAAATTACAGGGCTTTCTTCTCTGTTGATGCACTGTATCAGTAGCACTACTCAGGCTTAACAACCATGATTAAGGTCATTTCTTTGATTCATAAATGGAGTGGAAAAAGGGGTATGCATTTCCTGATGTAATCAGGAATGGATTGAAGAGAGATGAGAAAGACCTGGGTAGAGAAGATGTGTGTGCATTTGTAACGAAGAACATTATATGCAGTAGAATATATTGAGCTAAGAATAGTGAAAGAAAAGTGAGATAAGGAAACAGCATAGCATGCATACAGATCTAGGGAGAGTGGAAAAGACTTGGGGAAAGGCAGAAAAGAGGTGTGTTTGTTTAGGACTGGGCTTAGCTACAGAGCAGGAAAAAGCCAGCAAAGGACGGTGAGCCTGGGGGAGTTATAGCCAGCTGAAATAAGACAGTTCTTAGGCAAGGCAGCAAATGTAATTTGCAGCAACTGATTTTCTTTTATTAAGGGAACAGAGATGGTTTGTGAGGACAGGTGTTTCAAGCACTTATCATCCAGGAACCAAAACACTCTGTTTGAACTTAATTTAATGTATCTGCTATGATTGTGCACTATTTGATTTTAGCCCAGTGATTTCCTAAAAGCAGTTTTTGTGTCCCTTTTCCATCCTATTTTATTTGCCTCTGACATATTTTGGCATGGAAGTCCTAATAGCTGCCACCTGCATTTGCTGTTCGTTGAGGAAGGAATTGAAAATTACAAAGTAATGAGAGGTGGGGGGGAGAGGAAGGTGTCCATTTGGAGGGGAGGTGTATTAAATTTTACATCTTGGTTTTTAAATGTACATCGCTAGGGGAAAGAACCCAAAGTTTCATTACACTCTACAGAAGCATATGGCATTGCAATTCTCACACATCTCTGTGCAAGAGAATCTCCTCCTATGGAATTCTGTGTCTCTTACATTTGGTGTACAAGTGATGCAGAGATTCTGAGTTATTAAGTACGGGGTGGGCTGCAGGTCCTGAGCCAGTGGTTCTCAATGTTGGTTGTAAATTGGAATCACCTGGAGAGCTTAAAAATACTGGTGCCTGGGTTCTGTTCCTAGAGGTTTTTACTTAATTGCTCTGGGAGTGAGAACCAGGCATGGGGATTTAAAAAATCTCCCCAGGTGATTCTGATATGCACGCAAGTCTGGGAACCTCTAGTTTAGCCCATTGCTTAATTACCTAAGTAGATTAAACCAATTGTTCTCAAAATGTGGTCCAACATCAACAGAGCACTTAGAAAGCAAATGATTGAGCCTCTGCCCAGATTTATTGAATCAGAAACCCTGGGGAAAGCTCAGGAAGGAATCTGTATTTTAACAAACCCTCTAGGTGATTCTGGTGCATGCTATCAGTTGACAGCTACTAGATTAAAGAGACTTTCGTGATCCTTTCCAAAGTACACCTGTGGGGGGTTGCTGGCAAGGAGAAGGGATGTTCTTACCAGCTGATAAAAATTGACCTGGGAAAGGACTTTGATAGAAATACTTGTAATAATGATATTAAAAACTATGATAAGGAAAGGAAAAAGGGCATGATGATTTGCTGCAAAGCCCAAGCAAGTACAGGAGGGAGCATGTCTTCATAAGAGTTAAGGGATTGGTTACATGGGCAGACATAACGCTAGTGGCAGAACCTGTAGGCAAACTTCTACTAATTCATTAAGACCCTTTTCAAACGCCAAACTCCTCTGTGAAGCTTCCTCTGAGCTCTGGTGTAAATTGCTTCATCCTTGTATTTACTTAGAACTTTCTACATTCCTCTATTAGCTCTTAACTCACTGTAAGTCTTTCTCCCTCACTAAATTGTGTGATCTTTAAAAGCAAGGTCACTCACTGTCTTATTCATCCTTAAATTTCTAATACAATACCTGATACGTAGTATAACAAGTGCTCTAGAATTATTTGCTTAGGGAAGGTATCAGGAATGGCCAGCTTTATTGGCTATCAGGAGCCTTCAAAAGATGGGTTTACCTTTGTAAATTAATCATGGTCCTGGGTCCTACTCTCTGACTTGAAGGCTAGGGACCTTGACTCTGTCAGCATACCATGAGTTGATATTTCTTAGTGGTGACCATACACACCACAAAGATCTCAGAGATGTACTAATATATATAATTATTAACAACTTAGTATTTTACCATAGTAATTGTCAAGTGCCAGGACTACTACTGTCAACTTTTCTCATATTTCCTCTCCTTGTAGGTAGACCTTCATGGGAAATCTAATTAAATGCAATAGGGATACAGCTGGCACAGGACAAAAGTATTTGATTCTTTGGGCCCCACAGGTTGCCTCTCATCCAGGCACTGTCATCTTCTAGTTCTTTGTACTCTCTAATTCCATAATCTACTGTCTTCATCCTACGTCTTCTCACAAATATTCTTCAAACAAGATAAGCACTTAGTAAATTACAATCACCTTCCCATTGTGCCTTTCCGGGGTTATACTCAGGTCAACATGATTGGATGTATGTGTGTCCCTCAATTCTTTAGAGTGACAGATTTGCAGGAAATCCTTAGGTTTAATTCCCTAGGTGCTTAATTACACTTTCATTATATATGGATTTTTACTGGCTTAACTCTCAGAGGACAACCTTATAACCTTATTTCAAAGTCTTTTGGATGTGGGACACCTTACTGTCACCTCAGTTACTGCCAAGATGAATCATTTATAACTGTTATAGAAACTTTGAACTACATGTGAATGTCATTCTCTAAAATGGAATTTTAAGACCCAGAATGTAAACCAGAAGAAACTGAATTTGTGCCTTTTGTGTACATGCTGAATAGATTTTTCTGATTTTTTTATAGGCATTATATCTGATAGCCACTAATGGAACCCCAGAGCTCCAGAATCCTGAGAGACTGTCGGCTGTATTCCGTGACTTTTTAAATCGCTGTCTCGAGATGGATGTGGATAGGCGAGGATCTGCCAAGGAGCTTTTGCAGGTGAAAATAAAATAGGACAATTACAAAGAGAGTCATTATATTGAACTTTTCCATCTCAGTGTGACAGTAAGAGAACTCTGTCAAGAAATGTCTAGTTAAAGGCTAGACATTGATAGACTATTACCATTTGATTTTAGATCACAGGGACATAACTGTAGGCACACATCTAATACATTATTGATTGACATGTTGCCTTTCTTCTGAGAAGTTGACAGTTAAATCTATAAATCTCTTTTGTTCTTCTGGAGTCTTATTTTTCAAGGAAAAACAACTAATGTGACCCTCTGGTGTTGCTGTTTTGTTCTAAACTTTACTTGTGCCTCTGGATGTTGTATGCAGGTGCTCTTGGCCAGAGGTAATTCTCTACATAACTATGCAGTTATTTCCATGGCATTTGCTACTCTTATGCTTTACGGTTCAAAGCCCCCTTGCTTGTGATGCCAAATGGTAGACACTTGCCTGGGTGAGTACCACCCAGTGGTGAATGCCTCTGTAACCATTTGTCCTTTTCATGGCTCTCAGGGATTAGTATATATGGTGAGAAATAGTACTTATTATGTACCACATTCATTGCATAAATTATCTCATTTAATTCTTACAACAACCCTATAGGGTAGGTGTTATTATCCCATTTTACAGATGTGGAAATTGAGGCTCACACAGCTCTTGAGTGGCAGAGCTAGGATTTGAGCCCTGGAACGTCTGACTTTCCACCACACATCACACACAAATCAATTTAGATAAAAAGATCTATTGATTTGATAAAACAGCACATGCCCAGGATTAATAGGTTCATAGCTGGGACTGTTCCTCAGGGACATATATCAAGACTGGTAATATCTAAGAACAATGACTGCTTGTTCTCTCTGTGACTTTGAACACATAAGCCAATAAAACGAAAGGTGCAACACATGGTTCTGCAGAGTATTAGCCACAAATTCAATCTGTTCTAACCCATCCCCCTCAACAACAAATCTGTTCCTGTTGCATCTGAACTCCCTCCAGAGACAGAGAGCCACACCCAGGCAAAAAAAATCCCATCTCAACTCATATCACACCTGGGATAAACTTATTTGTAGGAATTAAGAGACTACACCTTCTCTTCTCTGCTACCTGTGAGCATTTCACAGGTTGTCATAGGGCCCTGAAGTGTCAAATCTGGAATGGCCCTTTGTTAATCCTCTAGTTATCTAGCCTCAAATTACAGATGAAAGACCTGAACTTTTGAGTCCTTTATTTCCACATCTTTTCACTCCCCAACCACCCCACATACATGTCCTGATACATTCCTGATATGCTTTCTTCTAAGCATGAGTGAAGATATAGGTTCTGTTAATGTACCTATACAGGTAAGCAGATCATTGAATCAATTACCTAATTAATTCATTCCCCAGCAATACTTTTATATTAACCAGTCAGATAACTGATGCAAAACTGTATTTTAAATCTAAATTGAATAGTTTGTTGCATCTTTTCATTTTATATATGTAAACAATAACCTGAATATCTCCCTAAGCACATATAACTCCATTCTCTGACTCTAGCCTATCATTGCCATCTTAGAGGTTAGAAGGGAGAGAGATGCACAGCATCCATGTCACTGGAAGGCTGGAGAAAAGACACAGGTCTTGTATATTTGTGTGCCTTCCTATATGACCTAAGTCAGTTCTCTGTCCATCAGTTGATATGTATTGAGCATCTTCAATTTGCAAAGCATAAGTGCAGTAGGTGATACAAACCTCTTAGGTGCATGATTCCTACTCTTAAGAAGTTCACAATCTCCTTGGAGATAATGCAAGGCTGTTTAGAGACTCATTCAAACCAAGTGGCTGTTCAAATTGTAAATGATATGGTTGATTAGAGAAATATCTCTCCAGCATACGGTGATCAGAAAATGTCTATGAACAGGAAAGAGGTCTACTGGGCCTTGAAGGACAGATCAGTTTAGATAGATTGAAGAAAAGAGGGGAAGGGATTTTCAGATGGAAGTGTTATGGTATAACCAAAGGCATATAGACAAAGTTTAAGAGAATAGAACCTAGAAAGTGTAGCTGAAGTTACAGGAGATCAGACTATGGAGGGCCTAGAACACCAGGCTAAAGAGTTGGGGCTGTAGGTAGTGGGGAAATGCTGCAGATATCTGAGGGACAAGCATGATGAAAGCTTTGTTTAGGAAGATTCATCTGCTAGTATGCAATAAGGATTAGCAACAGGAAAAAATGGAAGCAGGGAGAGCAAGGGGGAGTTATCATTTGGAAGTAAATTAATTAGGCCTGAATCAGGAAAAGTAAGAGATGATTATAAGAGACATTGAAAAGAAAGAACTTGGTAGCTGATTGCATGTAGAACATAAGGGAAAAGAAGACAAAAGTGACTTTAGTGTATCAAACCAATGGTAGCATTCAGTAAAAGGACAAGTGATAGAAGATAATACAATGGCTAACATTTCTTCACCCTGTGTAGCTAACAGGGGACTGTCACTTACCTCATTTAACCATTATAATAAACGGAGGCAAGGATCAAACTTAAGTGCTCTGACCCCAGAGCCCTTAAGTTTACATCACACAAGAGTCCTCTTTCTGGGGAACTTTAACATAACTTTTTAAATGTTGAAATGAAGGTGCCAGAAGAACATTCCAGAGGAAATGTCCAGCAGGCAATTGGAGAACTAGGACCAGAGCTCAGGAAAGGGATCAGGTCATACACTATTGCTCCCCATAGAGCTGATGGTAGTTGAAACGTGAAAGGAAATGAGATCTTTAAGAAATTAAATGAGAAAAGGAAGATGATGATAGCCAAGTTATGGTATGTAGGAGGTAGGAGGAGGAAGTGAAATGAGGGAAGAAGATGGAACAGGAGTAATCACATGTGTGTGGAAGAGACCCAAGACAGTAGAATGTCACAGGCCCCGAAAGAGGAGAACATTTCAAAGAAGGAAGGGATATTTACTTGAGTTAAGTACTGCAAAGAAGTCAAAAGAGAGATGGCATAGGCACAGCTATTGGGTCTAGCAGGTAGAAAGCCACTGGTTTCAGGATAAAATTCTTTAGGGGTCAACTGAAGACACTTTTCCAAGCATGAGGGCTGCTCCAGATAAATTCATCAGTTTCAGAGAATCAGAAAATCAGACCCTTGCAAACACAGTGAGATTTTACGAGGTCCCCACTCAGTTTCTACATTTGCCAGTCAGCCCAGAGGATTTCATGACACTGAATGAAAGACAAAAACATATGAAGGACAAAAGCTCGCACCATTGTTTAATTGGGTGTTCAAAATATATTTTAATAAAAAAAAGGGCTGCTTGAAAATGTAAACTAATATACTTGGAGAAAAGAATTCCAGTGATTTCTCTTTTTTTTTCTTCCTCTTGCAGCATCCATTTTTAAAATTAGCCAAGCCTCTCTCCAGCCTGACTCCTCTGATTATCGCTGCGAAGGAAGCGATTAAGAACAGCAGCCGCTAGGACTGCAAGCCTTACCCCTCACCATCTCCCTCATGAGTAAGACTGAAATAAAACTGTGCTGCAAGAAAGATGAACGAAAAGACAGACAAAAGGGGTGGGGGTTCTTTAACTTTCCAATGAATAGAAACTTCTTATAAGCCTTTTTCCTACACCCTCAGATTATGTAATTTATTTGTAAGCCTGAATCGCAGCCCAAATAGGGCAGCAATGTTGAAGTGGCCATAAAGTGGTCACTTCCCACCGTGAAGCGAAAGAGCCAGTAGTGAATCCCCTCATTTTGTGCATTCACTTTGAAGAAGAAAAGTTTCTCAAAGATGCACACTCCCTCTTCATAGTGTTGTGTTTGTTTTTAAGTTAGAGAGTAGTCCCTCTTGCATTCGAACCTCTTTCAAAACTCCTTACCCAATGTGATGTTTTTCACTTGCATTGTCATTAGATGTCCAGAAAAAAGATGTCAAAATGTTTTTTTAAAAAAAGAAAGCAAAAAAGCAAAGCAAAAAAACAAAAAACAAAAAAAAACACAAACAAACAAACAAAAAAAAACAGAGCAAGTACTGTGTGAACATGTGGAAGTCCATGCCCTAATAGAGTTGCAATCTTTTATTCTTCTTCTATAGTGGTGGCTTGGTTTGTGTACCTATTTTTCTGCATTTGTATTGGAAAAGGTTTCTTTTAGGACATTTTCCAAAAGCAGAGAGGAGTATGTGTGTTCAGGAAGGGCTTTTAAAAACTGTGTATCTAAATAAAGCTCAAATGGTGAAATCCTGCCACATTTTCACCATGATGCTTTGGAGGTGGTTGATTTGTCATTTATGGAAACTAGTTTGTTAATCTTCATGATACCTGAAAGAGGGCAGACACACTGAAACTGTGGCAATCCTACGTGGTCCAGGTCCTGGACCTAGGAAATCCTGATAGGAGAAACCATATTTAAACAAAGAAGGAACTTTTCTCTAAGAGCCAAAAGGGAAGATAAGATATGTGAATAATACTGAAATCCTTGTTGGACATTAAACAAAGATAAGAATACTTAATTTAATCCTCTCTTGTGCTTGTGGAACATAAGCACTGTAAAATAGGCACATCAGGAGAAAACAGATCCATTAACTGACATTTCCTTATGATAAAAATTATTTGTTTTGACAATTTATAACATTTTTAAAAGATTTAGGGAACCGAGATATAATAAACATTCAACTCTGTAAGAAATGGGAGGTCGGTGAAAGCTACATCCCAATCAACATTTGGCTCTAAATGCTTGTTCCCATTTTCCCTATGTATCACCAATTTCTGTTTTAGGATATGGTATGTTCATACTTAGCTCCTTGGGCTCTTAAATATCAAAAGAGTGTTTGTAAAGATCTTGAAATTCTCCAGTGAAAATAATTTTGGCTTGCAATCATATCCCAAGAAATGTCAGCCCAACTGAATTCCTTTTGTGGCTTGGGGAAAATACCAAAATTTGACTATTATTTTACCATATATCTATTTATTAAAAATTCAACAGTTGGCACTTCCTGAATTTTCTGAGAGTGGAAAAATATCTGGAGGCTGTCTGTGTAGAAAAGGATATGCTTCTCTTTTGAGTGTATTGTCAATTTTGCAAATTCTGGAAAGTTGTTTCTCTAAGCCTTTGAAAAGCTATCAATTTGTGTATAGAAGGCTTCTTGATTTGTAGTATATAAAGAATCTGAATAGAACCTATCTACATTCAGCAAGAAGGGAAAAGATATCAATGACATGGGACTCTTTCCTTCTCTGCCAAGGGACATCCATCCATCTAACCATTCATCCATTCCTTAAAATGAAAGCACTTTCTTTAGAGTTTCAGCTAACCATATAGTGCACATGTTTAGGAGATGATGCCACTGGTGGATTATCTATTTTCCTACTGTTTTCTTTGACTATAAAATTTGGGAGGGGCTTGACCCCCATGAAAATACTCGCAGTGGGATAAAACAACAAACGTGAAAGGAAAATCAAATGGTAATATTAATTTGAAGCATGCTATGTTAAACTTTGCAAAAAAGTGTCTGGGCCTGAAATTTATAATGCCACACCACTCTAATGAGAGAGAGAGGCCTTAATTTTAATTTCATTGAACATTAAGGTTTTTTTTATTCTTACTCATAGTGCCAGGGAATTCAATACCTGGGATGCCAATAAAATTCAGTACACTGGTAACTATACCCTTCCAGTGGAGAGAGCCCAAAATCTATTTGGGAAGCCCTATTCATCGATTAGCATCCCTTATGTCATAAAGGCCTATTTTTGTTGTTGTTATTTTGGAGACCCTGGAGCAGTGATCCTTCAGATCACTGTAGGCAGAGAAATGGCTTCTCTTTTATGCTTTCAGTTCAGCATATTAGCAATGAGGAGCCTGGTACTTCTTTATCACCAATTTGTACCAAGATTTGATGATAATATATCCCAGTAGGCATTACTCTTACAAATTTTTATCTATGTAAATTTTCAAATGAGAACAGCTTCTGCAGCCCCTTCCCTGTGTTGGAGAGTTATGTATATTTCTAATAAGTATTAGAGAGAAACCGTTTCTCGTGCCAAAATGATGCTGAAGGATTCACATTTGGTACACTTGAACAACTTGGACTCCAGATGGTTAATAGTTTATTCCCTTTCCCTGGATTTTTTTTAGCTCATCTTGACACAGGTGAGTCTATCCAGATCTTTAATGTTGCCAGTGTGCCCTGAGATAAGGAGGGCACATCATCGAATGTTGATTCCAAAATGTCCTGAGATAGGAATAGGGCAGTAGGAAAGTCAGGGAAGGGTGAGAAGCACAGTAGAGATTATTTATTTAAAAAAGAAAAGAACACTAATGTTGTAGCAAGGATCCGGTGCGTTGTCATAATCCCATGAGGATTTTTGGATGACACAATCTCCTCAAATCAGTCACCATGTTGGGTAATGACTTCGTTCTTGCTGATCTCGTCTATGTGTCATTGTAAATATTTGTGCGTCCATGTTCCATTTTGGCTACTGGATGGCCAAGTCATGTAAGAAGATTTAACTCGAGTATTTATTCTTCAACTGTGTTATTCAGATTTCTTTCAGGCTTGTGAACTGCACCCAATGTTTGCGTTTAACCACCTGATCCTTACATCTATCCCTCCCCTGTGAAGCACATTCCATTGCTAAAAGAAAAAGAAATATGAAATTGCTTCCTGTTGTCTGTATAACTGTTTTGATAGTTTCAGATGTTTGTCTATAAAGGATATTTCTCAGCTCAAAGATCGTGTAAATAATTATATTCCTTTGCTCAATGGGTTGTTTATTTCGAATGAGGCTGCCAGTTCTCAGAGAGATTCTATAAAATCACTTTTAAATAACATAAACAGGGATTACAACTATGTAAAAATAAGTGTGTATATGGACAAAGACTGGGAACACAAATAATTGAAATCAGTTGTGGTAGGGTGGCGGGATTACGTGAAAATTTTTTTCTTTTAAAATTTTCTTTGATGTTGTTACAATATTGCTTTATGATAAATAAACATCAGAAAGGGAACTATAGAAACATAGAAAAGATGCCAGAAGCAGATGCCTTCTGGCCAGAGCCCAGAGCATGCAGGGCACAGATATTTGCTAGTTACAATTATTCCATAGGCTTTATACTTGCCTGGGTGCTGAGGTTGGCACACACTCGGGTATGGCACGTGCTTTCTTAGGAGACTATTATCTATAAGTTAAAGCTAGGGAGATGTCACTATTAGAACTCCAAACATACTCTTCTGCTTTAAAACAAGCTGCCCTCTGCTTTGGTATGGCATTCAGGTGTCCGTTTTGTGGTAACTTTAGATTGGAAGGGTGACCATTTGACTAGCCCCTTTGATAACATCTGTTGCAGATGTCACCTTTCTGCGTCATTCTAGCAGATTTTCAGGTTGACTTTTGAAGGAACAGAAGGATAAAAATCTCCAGCTCCCATGATTTCGTTGTCCAACAGGATATTACTGTATATCATTCAGGTAGGATTCTTCTTTTAATGATCAATAGGCAAGTCCCACAGATTTCAATAGAATTTGACTTGCAATTAAAAGCTGACTCTGAAATCCTTAAGAGAGATATCTAGGACTGTTTCTGCCTGTTGGCATTCATTTACAGTCCTGTTAGTTTGGGCTTAAGATGGTCTCCATGTGCTTTTGTTCTGCCTAATTATAGGTTGTATGAAGTAGCTGTGATTTTTAAAGAGCAGGGGAGACCATCTAACCTAAAGAGTGGAATTTCCTTCTAACTCACCGAAGAAACTTTAGGTGAGGACTTTAATGATGAGGTAGTAGCCTCAGGTATGTTACTTAGTTTCACCAAAAGCAGACCTGATACCTAGAGAACTCGCAGGCTTTGCATTGGCCATTCTCAATGTACAAATACTTATTGGAGTCTTAACCCTGCCATCCCGGTTGAATTTCACGGTCCTTTTCTGAGCTACTTGTAGTTAATATTCAGTTAAACAAAGGCATGGCAGTGATGCAAGCATCTCCCAGTCTCTGAGCTCTGAGCAAGAGGACTGAAATTCAGCATTTGTAAAATGGCAGTCTAATGGGCCTGGGATTTTGAGTGAACTTAACACACAATTCTGAACATATATTTGCATGTGGACTGGGAAGGAAATAAATGGGACCTTGGAATTAATGGAAATATTTTTCCTATGAAAGAATGTTTCATAGATTTGTTTTCTGTTGGTTAGCTTTTATTTCTTTCACTCCTTTTCTGATCCATACTCCTTTAGTGACCAAATGAATATCCCCCAACTTCTCATACATTGGGAATGTCTGTTTAATATTAAACAATGTCTAACTGAATCTGCAAATGCGGGAACTGAGATATCACTTCCATGTGCACTCCTCTGTGCACAAGTATACTTTACAACTTGTAGCATTTACTGCCACTTAATTTATGGCTGAACTGGCAAGATAAACTTATAGAAGCTGGTTAGTGCCATCAGAGTCTCCTTTGGAAGCTGCCATCAGGTGAATACTATCCCATAATACCAGCAGTAAGGCAGGTATCATGTTCGCCTGATTTAGTATTTATGAGAAAATCAACAGCAATTACAGAGAATCCGATGTAGTGGAAAGAATACTAGCCTAGGAAGAAGGAGGACTAGATTCTAATATAGGCTTTATTACTAACTTGCTGTGTGACCTTAGGCAAGTTGCTTAACCTTTCCATGACTGACGATTTCCCCATCTGTAAAATAAGGGCATCAGACTAGATGATCTCCAAGGTCTTTCCAAAAGCTCTAACATTCCATAATATTATAGGTTGCCTTGCAAATTCAACCTGCTATAGTAATGGAAAACATCACATGCTTAAGCCTGGGTCTCTTATGTTGCAGTTAAACAATAGAGTTGTGTAAGATGATGAAAAAACTCAAGTAAATGAAGTTAATAATACTAGGGTATGTTGATAAAATTGTGGCAGCCTTCCAATTCATTCATAGTCGTTTGTTTTTGTTTTAATGTCCATTTTCTGTTGAGTGTTCCCAGTTTTCATTTTCCATACACTCTGTATGTAAAGTCTGGTTTTGATTAAGCTGTGGCCAGTATTTGCTACTAGAACACAAATACACAGTCACACTTGCTAGAATAGAACTGTACTCAGGCCTCTCCTTTCCTATGAAGCAGTGCTGGGCTTTATAGAGGTTAATTTGCAAATGGCACAAGATGACAGAACCCATGCATTTTAATGGCTGAGACATTAAGAGTTGACCTAGCATTTGCAAATTGCAGAGAGAGAAATGAAAATGTAATTAAATGCTATTAGCATTAAGGAGTATTGACAAATTCACTTGTTGGGAACCAAAGATAGCATTTCTGATGACAACTCCCACAGTGATTGGCCAGTTATATGAGTGCACTGCTGGAAATAGGGTTAACTAGAAGTTAATTAGTGGATGGTCACAATGCCCTGCCTACAGCAGAGTGCCAACCAGCCCTGAGTGCAAAATTCAAGTTCAATGTGTGTGCTTGTGTGTAGTGTGCTTTATGGACCCGCATATACTATATTCATTAGTGATGATGAGATCTTTCACAGAATCCTGTAACTATTAATGGGTTGAGTTCTAAATCTCAGTACATCAGCCAAGAAGAGCCAGATCATAAGGGTACTGATGTCTACTGGGATTATACTCATAATATCCAGAAAAAAACAAGTTGAGGAGGATCTACATTTTCATTGTTTATCAGAATTGTATCTCATTTGGCTGTGCATTACTTTTGTCAAAATGTGTTATCTGTAAACCATGTGTAGTGAAATTCTTCTGTAACTTTGGATTAAAGGTATTTATGGTCTTTTTGTTTGTTTGATTTTTTAGTAAGTTATTTCTTTGTAGACATGCTGATGGTATGGTTCCATCATTCTGACCTCAGCATCTGATCTTTTTAAGAATTTTTGTTTCTAATATTGTTATTTTAATTGTGGTTGAAGCAATAGAAAATTGAAATATGGATTGTGCATGACTGTGTCTTGAGTGTAAAAATATTGCAGTTTGAAACTTGGACCTAAAGTATTGCAAATAAAAATGACAAACATCAATGAGCTGGTGCTTTTCTCTTCTGTCACCTTCCCATCCACCCTCTCAATACTGGATATTTTACCTACTTCACAGGTTGGAGAGTAGCACTGTTTCACAGGTATGGAGGCAAGGAAATACTCAGCCTTGTGAGCAGTACAGGAAATGCCCTGCAGATTCTGCTCCTAAATAACTCAGACCCAGAGTCTCCATTTGGTTTTTACATGAAATAGCTCAGAGAGGCAAATGCAGATACTCAATGCAGGGCGAAAGCCTGGTAGATCCCAAAGATAGATGAAAGAAAACTGCCAAAAGAAATCACATGGAATAAATAATTTGTTTCTGATCATTTTTCTCCTTGGAAAATTCCGAACATGTAAAGCCATCTGCATGTTTATATGTGATATAAAGGTTCAGAGGTCACAGGAGAGAATTCAAACCCACATTATTGAGAACCTTCATTCACTCATTTGCTCATACATTTCAAAATCATTTATTGAACTCCTGCTATATGTCAGACACTTGGACATTTCTACTAAAGATAACTTTTCTCCTCAAAAATCACCTCTAAATGTGACTAAATTACAGTAAAGTTCATCGAAAGCTGCTAGATGCACCTGTTCAAGTCAGATTTGTCAAAGACTCTGGAGACCTCAAAACTCAAGACAAAAACACCAGAGATTTGGTAAACTGGAGTATTGTTCCACCAGTAGTACTTGTACAGTGGGCATAGTGCTCCTTCTGGATCATGCATACATAATTATATACCTTTGTGTAAGTGGATGCACACTGGTACTATATTCCTCACAAATGGATTGTATATCTTACCAAATGTGTTTTGATTATTTTCTAGTTCACTGTACTTACATTCAAGCTTTATTTTCTCACTAAATCTCTCCATGTTGAAAGCCAGAAAGACATTTTCTATAAACATGAGTGAGCAAGTGAATGAGGATCCCAAGAGCTAGCCTTTAACCAAGTTCCCTATTGCCCATGTGCACAAATAACCACATTGCCACACCCACTATTACCCTCGCATTCGTCCAACCTTTGTTACCAGACTTCCTCCAACTTTTTTCTATACCTATTAAATGAAGTAGAAATACGTTTATATGTTAGCAAATTATCAGTGCTTTCTATCAAAAAAAAATTAAAGACATTTCCCTTTGCCACAGTCACTTGAAGGAATGGAGTCCAAACGATGACACATATATTATTCCACAGCTCACCCCTACAAGTGCAATTGCTGGAACTCTAGCCTCATCCAAGTCTCTCACTTCCTACTGAAGTGGGGAGGGGCTAATACCTGAAGGGTCCCCCAAATTATGGTTGTTCTTCACATCCCATGAGGCCTTGGCCCCCAGGTACTTGGGTGGAAGACAATAATTGTCCCAGTTTCTATTAAATAATTTAGAGTCTTCTAACTCCTTTGGATAAACACTATCTGGATTCCATCTTTTATAATCAGTCTCACCAACACCAACACATGTAGCATCAAAATGATATAAATACTTCATTGTGGGAAGGTCCATATTACCAAATCCCAAACAATAAAGGTTTTATTCCCCACATTGACCACATTGGGAAACAATACCAAAAGGTTCATGCAAGAAGCAACCTCGATGAATTTTTTTTTTTTCATTTCTTTCTTTCTTTTTTTTTTTTGAGACAGAGTCTCACTTTGTTGCCCAGGCTAGAGTGAGTGCCATGGCGTCAGCCTAGCTCACAGCAACCTCAAACTCCTGGGCTCAAGTGATCCTCCTGCCTCTGCCTCCCAAGTAGCTGGGACTACAGGCATGCGCCACCATGCCTGGCTAATTTTTTGTATATATATTTTTAGTGGGTCAATTAATTTCTTTCTATTTTTTAGTAGAGACGGGATCTCGCTCAGGGTGGTTTCGAACTCCTGACCTCGAGCAATCCGCCCACCTCAGCCTCCCAGAGTGCTAGGATTACAGGCGTGAGCCACCACACCCGGCTTCTTTCTTTTTTTTTTTTTAATTTCGGCATATGATGGGGGTACAGATTTTAAGGTTTCAATAAATGCCCTTTTGCCCCTCCCCCCACAAGTCTGAGTCTCCAGCATGACCATCCCCCAGACGGTGCACATCTCACTCATTATGTATGTATATACCCACCCCCCGCCCCCCTGCCCAATACCCTATTACTGTAGTACCTATGTGTCCACTTAGGTGCTGCTCATTTAATACCAGTTTGCTGGTGAGTATATGTGGTTCCTTGATGAATTTTTTGATTCCGTGCAAGTTGCCTCTCCCATGGCAAAGTTGCATGAATGCCACTTGGACTGATCTATTACCCAATGTGTTAGATGAATGTATTAATATCAGAGTAGCCTATGGTACCAGGACAAGTATCTGTAATCCAGAACATTTCCTTTCATTAGTGCTCATATAAGGAACAAAGGCATCAATTCCAGAATTGATGAAACTCCCCTTTTTAGTTAGCTCCATGGCAAACCCTTGTGATCTTTTCTAACTCATTGTCTGTATAATTTTGAACATTACTAACACCAACCTTCCTTCAAATGGTATATCAACTGTCTCACTTTAAGGGTTATTAAAGAAGCTAAAGCCTGATGTCATTTGCACTAACATCTATACTGTAAAGGATGCGGTGTTAATTGTGCTAGGCCTGTGCAATCTATATGATCTTCCAGGAGGTCCACTGATGGGAAACAGTGGCTCCTGGAACATTGCAGGCTTAATGATTCATAAGATGCTATGTACCCAATTGAGTTCACGTCAATTTCTCAGATCTTTAGATTTTCCACCAGCTTTTCTCCCACCATCTTGGCATCACAGTTGAAGAAGTCCCACCCCCAATTCTGTAATGTATAATTTCCAAGCACATTGTCCTTCATTATTGTCATGGTTCCTGGCTACAGCTGAAGTGGCACCTGCTGCTACAGGAACAGGGTCAAATACAAGTTTGTCTCCTCAGTCTCTAAGGGAGAGATAAAGGAATGAACTCTGTCTGGAGGAACACTTACTTTGCTGGCCAATATATGGATTGTGGCCCAGTGACATTTCTTTAATTTCCTATTGACTGGAGTATACACTATGGCCCACTGTGAGAGGGCCACCCATTTTTCTTCCTGTCAGTAGGCAAGGCAACCATTTTGGGCTCCCCAGAGAGATAACCAATTTCTCAACAGAACTCAGTGCCCCTTCATGCAGCTTCTGTAATCATGCTCTAACCATATACACAGTGTTTGTTCCATTCAAAGTTGTCACAAAATGCCTTGGAGGCCAACCTGTACGCTTCCAGTAGTCTTCAGTTTAGTGTAGCTACATATTATGTCAGCTTCTTGAATCTCCACACCTCACACTTTCTCCCCCATGGAGAAAGTCTCTGGGCAATGAGGTTTCCTACCGAAAATGAAATTATGAGGGTAAAATCATTATTTGCAGTAGGGTGGTAGCCCAGTACCAAAAAGCTCCATCCTGGCTTCCCCTGCCTCTTTTGCTCTTGCCTCAATTTGACTCGATCACATGCTATCATGTCAATTGAATCTCTGAAATTATGGATCCCCCTTAGGCTAATATGGGATTAAGAGTTCAGATTTCAGAGCTAAAACTGCATTTTGTTTCTCTCTAAGCATTATTTTGCTGTTTTAAAAAAGAGGATAAAATATATCAGACGTTGTAAAGAATGAAAAAAAAGACAACATATCCAAATGCTTATTCTGCCACGTAGTGGGTACTTAATAAATGATAGCTATCATTATTATTAGCTTTAAAAAAATCCTGGTCAACTGGAACACCTTCAATAGCAGTCACTTTTCTGGGTGAATTTTGGCCAGCAATCCAAATACAGAGAAGTGTTTCTTCCATAATACTGTAGCCATTTTTAGAGACTTTTGGTCCTGAGTAGGACAAGCCTGGGTGGGCCCTAGCAGGTGAAATGTGCAGACAGTGTTAGTATGCACACCAACTTTCCCATCTATAACCAAGGGCAAGAAATCTTTGCTTACAAACACCAGTATCTTGCTTGTGAGGGTAGCATCCCGGTACATTCTCTGTATGGGCCGGGCCTTTTCCTGTGCAAAGTAAGCCCATGCTTCACATCTGTGTGTCAAGCCCTCATCCATGTTAGACAGAAATAATAAGCTCTTTAACAGTCCTCAAGTCTTTTCCTTTCTTATATTGCCAAAGTCATTGTGTAATACTCTTAAAACCATAAGACAGTACTCTTGGAGGGAAATCCATCTATTTCCATTTATTTTAGCAGTGGGCATTACGACATCCATACAAACCCTGGTCGACCCATAATTGAACTGTACAATTAAAATCAGACAATTTTATTGTATTTATACTTCAATGAAGCTGAAACTTAAAAAGAAGCAATGTGAATGTGTGTGTCTGTGTGCGAATGTATGTATGTATAATTTGATCACTTCTCACCCACAACCTTCACTGCAATCAATCTGATCTAAGCCATCTCCATCTCTGCTTGCATTGTTATCACAATAGCCTCTCAACTGTTCTCCTTGCCTCTACATTTGCACACCTAACTGTAGTCTCAAGGCAGCATTCGACATAAATCAAAACTTTCCAATGGTTCCATATTCCTCTCGGAGTAAAGATAAAGTCCTTATGGTGACATCATGCAATGCCCTCCACCGTGGGTACCACCTCTTGCCTTCTCACCTCACTTCCTTCTATTCTCGCTCTCACTCATTCTTCTCTAGGCCCACTGGTTCTTTACTATACCACAAGCATTTTAGACATGCGTTTACATCAGTGCCCCTGTGGGGCCTGGAACACTTCTCTCAGATATCCACGTCCTTCTCTCTCATTTCAAGTCTTTGTTCAAGTTTTTCTTTTTTTATGAGGCCTACCCTGATCACCTCATTTAGATCGCACTTCCCTGGCCAGACTCCCCATCTGCTTTCCCTGATCCTCTTTCTCATAACCTTTATCAACTTCTTTCACACTCTACTGTTTATTTGTTTATTGTGTCTCCTGACTCCGCCCATTTGAAGTAAACCCCACCAAGACAG